ATGCTCAGCTCTTCGCATTGATACACGCACCTTGTCGCAGATCGGAATGTGAACTTCACAAACTTGCCGAGCTACCTAACATGAGGTTGTTTGAAGGCAGTGTCCAAGCAAAAAGCGATTTTGAGATTTTGTGCTTATCCGGGCCTATTCGCCATGCTAAACTCCGATAAACCACAATGAAGAGCGGGAAAACGTCAAAAAAGGCCCTAGCGCAGGAGGGAAAATGCAGGTGGGTGGGGCCGTTCACACCGTACGTCACTCTCCCAAGCTTTAGGAGCGGCCTTCTCGGTTCCGACTTTATGACATGCGCTTCGCAGTTAGCTGGTGATGATGTTAGGGCGATTAGCGTAAGCGAGAAGATCGCTCCTGGAGCTGGGAGAGTAACGCCAGCCACTATGTGAACAGCCCCGCCCACCTGCAAATTCCCTCCTCCGTGAGAGCCTTTTTTTCGCCGTTTTTGGGCTCTCCAGTGTTGATTTTCTGATTCAGCATAGCGAATAGGCACAGTAAGCACAAAATCTCGAAATCGACTTTTGCGTGGACACTGTCAAGGAAAAAGACATCCTCTTGAATAATCTCTTACTCGTATTTGCCATGACCCTGACATTCGGTCACATTTTTCAAAAATAGTTGGCTGGTAGAGGAAAAGATTTGCGAATTTGAGATGATCATGAAAAGATCAAATACAAGGCTTATCGAACGGAGTGTCGCTTGCTTCAGCATCTCCACTCCCGCCCTGGACTCTGCGTCTCTCCCGCGGGGCTAATCTCTAAGCACTTTCCCAGGGCCAGCGTGGGAAAGAGCGGCGCCTCAATCGATTGGAAAGGATTAAAGAGCATGTTTACGGAAGAGATGCAGAGTCAAGCGCGGGAGTGGAGATGGTGATGCAGGCGACACTGCGTTCGGTTGCCCTGTAAGCGTTATGATTCAAAATTTGTAGAAGTTCGCTGGTAGGCGGATGAAGTAAATAATTATGGTGCACATGTACAGCTATCAATGCCGTACGCATGTTCCTTTTCAAAGCAATGTGCTAGTGCTGATATGAAGATGGACTTAAAGTAAAGATTTAGGTCCATCAAGCTCTTCTAGTTTTAGAAAGCATTCGGGGTGAGGTTTGATGCAAGTTAACTGCTGCTCTAACAACTGCAGAGCATACCTATGCGTTGCAGATAACGATCAAAGCTGAGCTTACAGCTGAAAACGCTTTAATACGCTTGAGCTTAACATGCGGATGGTTATGCAAACCTCATTCTATTTATCATTTAGTGACATGTATTATTTCGACAGCATTCTTGAACTTATTATGAAAATGATTGCAATAGGTTTCTGAAGCATAGTCAAGCATGTGATGCGATTGTCGCAACGAAAAAGTCATAAGGGGGGGGGGTAACCAAGGTGGGGGAGGGTTGGTTGTTAGAGTGAGGAGGGGGGGGTGAGTCTGGATAAAACGCTTAGAGGAAAGTATGCTGAATTACTGATTCCTAAAAGACCTGCTTCCAAAGTTTTACTGAAGACCGCAAACTCGACAAAAGTGCAAATCTTCATCAACAAATGGGCCTTTTTGTAATGTTTTCCTTACGCTCACGAAATTTTGCTGTACCCTGGATGTCCTGCTACATTTGGGAAAATATGGATTGAATGTATAGCCTTTGGTTTTTCGAAAATTTTTATGTATGGCAAAAAAAGTAGAAAAGGGAGGGGGAGGGTGGTATCTGGGTCGCATCTAAATCTCTTCGGAGCTATGGAAGCTTTTCGCTGTAATTCCAAATCATTACGACACCATCCTCCTACTTTCATCCTGAGAAAATCAAGCCTTTTGTTGCGTCCTCAATGAGTTCCAGAATTTGGTCACATATCCCAATTTTTAGTTTATAGGATTGCATTAAAATTTGCTAGAGTCGTGCTAGTCCAAACTTTTTCAAGCTATCTGCTCTTCAATGGCTGTAATTTTTTTCTTTGATTACCTGGGAATCCTACAACATAGCCTGTTTGTTGTAGCCTCTTAGCCTTCTCTGTAGTTACGTATTTTCAAAGTAGCTTGCTCAACATTGTTTGCAAAGGCGCTTAAATGGGTTCGTTAAGATCTGTGGGACAAGTATTAGGTTGTACGGAAATTGTCCGTTTTCGTTCTCAACCGCCATAATTCGTACATTTTTCCTTTCTGAATAGGCTTCAGGATACCATTCGATAGAGCAAAGCAAGCTCTACAAGAAGGCTATCTTGCTTTAGCAACAGCTCTGGTCCACCTCGAGTTTCGAGCCAAAAACTAAAAAGATTCAACTGCCCGAAAAATCGAGAAAAATCATAACTCAATTCGTAAGAATCCTACAAAGATTCTAACTTGCTCACGTAAACACTATCCACATAAGACATATATGTACGCCGTTGCCGTATTTTTTCCTCTGTTAGAAATCAAGAAAACGAAAATTTCCATGTGTCATCCCCACATAAGGATTGTACTACAAATCTGTAGAAGTACATGCGTAAATTTTCAGCTCTCCTCAAGCTTTAGTTCTCGAGAAATATCGATTATAGCTTTCATTAGTCAGGTAGTCCAAACTAAAATTCAAATTTCTCGATAACTAAAGCTTGTAAGCTGAAAATCCACGTTATTACTTCTACAGATTTGTAGTATACATCTGCTTATGTGGGGACGACAGCATCGCTTCTGCAGAAGTATGAAAATTTTCGTTTTTTCGATTTCTAATAGAGGAAAAAACACGGCAATAGCGTACATATATGTCTTATGTGGATAGTGTTTACGTGAGTAAGTTAGAATTCTTGTAGAATTCTTACTAACCGAATTACGATATTTCTTGATTTTTCGGGCAGTTGAATCTTTTCATTTTTGGCTTGAAACTCGAGGTGGATCAGAGCTGTTGTTAAAGCAAGATTCTTGTGGAGTTTACTTTGCTCTATTGAATGGTATCTTGAAAGCCATTCAGGAATGAAAAATGTATGACTCATTGCGGTTGAAATTCGAAACGGACATTAACTTCCGGACAACCTAATAGAAAACAAGTTTCCTAGTCACGTACATCTTTTACGCTTCAGAAGTAGCATTTTTCTTTATGCAAAAAATAAGTCGCTTACGGACATCAAACAATAGACCATTATTATAACTTAGAGCGTTCTCATCTTCATAACCATAATGATCTTTCGCTAAAGTCACTAATACGAATAAGTTGTTAACAAACCTTAACAATGGTTGAGAAACTGTGTGCTGCGAATCAAGCTGGCCGAGCTTTCCGTGTGAGGTGACTGACAGCCTGTCGCGCGCGACGTTTTCTAATTGGCACCCACACGCAACGACACGCACCCTGAGTTATGCCATGAATTGCAGAAGAATTTCTTATCTGAAATATGAAATGCTCCGTATTTCTAAGTTTTTTAGCTGTTATTTCATTTATAGTCTTGAGGCAGGCTTACAAATCAATAGGCTGGCGGGTAATCTCTGTTACAAATTTTTGTGGAATTCTGAAAAATATCAGAAGTTTTCTAGAGTCCTCAAAATTGCCCATATGTAGGCCACGGCATGACGTCCATAACAATATGAATGGTGCAAAAAATGGAAATCAGTGCAACAAAAAATGAAAAAATTCTCGAAAGCTATTCTTTTTGTGTCCACGTTTAAGATTTGATACGGAGAGTTG